TAGAACTGTCAACGTGAACGACTACCTACAGACATAGAATGCCATCTATATTTATATGCTCAATAATCTCTTTTTCAAAGGAATGTACTTATCTTTACGATAATTGATAAAGTACACGTTTTCTAAAATGAGACGTATTTCAAATGCTATCAACCCTTAGTAGCATATAAAGCGAAAAGACTGCGAGTACATTCTGTCAGTAACGCTACTAAAAGTTCCGGTGAATAGAAAACATGGTATTGTATGAGAACGAAATGGATATCGAAGAAATAATAGTTGTTGAAAGTGATGAAGAACCGATGAAAAATAATGAAAATGATGAAGAAATTCAAGATAGTTCGGATGATAGTGATATGGAGAATGAAATGTTCGAAGAAATGCATCAAGAATTGAACGCAAGTCAAGTGAATGCACTGACATAATGTGTATGCTTGAGTTTTATTACGATGATATACGGGAACAAGATGTAAATACGGGAAGATATTGCCATTCATGCGTTGTTGAAATGACCGATCAATTTCCGTATCTTGAGGTCAGGCAAAGACATAATACTGAACGATTTATATTCCTCGATGGTTGGTCATGCAGGGGATGCAGACGTCCATTGTACCAAATAATGCCACGCAACATGTGTCCTATTTGCCCTTTGATAAACGCTGCGGTGGAAGCACGACAAAATAACGATGCACGACGAAGGCTCCTCCAAGATACCGAAGACGAGGATGAATTTGATGGAAATAAAGAATAAGGTATGTGTGATACCCACACAACACGCGTGACTGTTTTTCGACTTACAGTCGACTTTTCTCAGTCGGCGTAATGTCGACTATAAAAAGTTGACTAGAAGTCGACTACAGTCGACTATTTGCTGACTATAGTTGACTTTTGAAAGTTAACTGAAAGTCGACTTAAAGACGACAAAAGTTCTGCTTTTTTCAAAAAAACGTTCTTATATTTCTTGTACTTCTTTCTATATAATAAATATATAACAGAGTAAATTTATATATAAATATATAAATTAACTGTGAGTACTGAAAACGTCGTTATATCTTTTTTTGACACTATACGTTTTTAACACAGATGTGAATCAATGTTTTCAGTACTCACAATTAATTTCGGATTATATAGCTGTAAAAGATAGCAATTAAAGAATGCGCCAAATGCGCCCCCTTTGTTGTGTAGTTGGACTTTAACCACTATGCATCACGGCGCGCCATCGGCGCGTCACTGTAACCTGAAATTGTGCACCCGGCCGCTAATTATTTCGGCAGAATTACAACGAGGTTTCATTACGAGGTTTCGGAGGTTCCAGAGATTTATCTCAGTATAATCATACGTGTAATATATAAGTGCAATAATTCTACAGCCTTTTTCTTGAAGAATTGAGGATTCATCGAAGATTCAAGAACAACTTCAACAAAGTAAGTCAGGAATAGAGTTAATTATTGCTAGCTGGTGACCGGGATTTTCAGGAAAGTCGCGGAATTCGTTCACAGCACTGTGTAAATTATGCTTTGTGCGTTCTAGCTGGCACGATCAGGAAATGATATTTTGTGTACATTATTGTTTAATTGTGTATATTTTAGGTTACCTGCAGTGCACGTGCATTTATAGATCGAATAAATAATAATTAATTTATGTGTTTTGCTGATATCATCAAATCAAATCAGTAAAAAACAATAATGATCACTTGATCATTATTGTTTTTTACTGATTTGATTTGATGATATCAGCAAAACACATAAATTAATTAGTAGTAAATATTAATTAATTAGTAGTAAATATATAAATATATATTCTTAACTATTCATGACAACGAAAGTTATGTTAAAGTAGCAAATGTTTATCTGCTTCGGCATGGTTTCACGATTTCTTCTGGACAATGAGAACATTATATATATATATATATATATATATATATATATATTTATGTATATATATATATGTGTTATCAAAGATGGAATATATATATATAATATATTCCATCTTTGTTGCTATGGTATTAATTTTATGTGTGTTTTTATATTTTGTTATGTATATTATTTACATTTGTTATCTGTAAGAAATATAACAATTAAAATGTTTATTGAAATTGTTCATATGTAATAATAAATATAAATTTTAAAACCATATTGAGTATTTATCGAGACCGGAAAAATGCTTTTTGAATTTGTTTTTTTCTATAAATGAATAAATTAACGTATTACCAAAATACATTGCCTTGAATCTTGGCTTCAGAAAAATTCATGTCTAATAAAATACATTTCAAAAGCTAAATTGGAAAATTCAGCTTCGGAGCACACTGTAAGAAATATGTATCTTTGATTGTATGCTTTTTTAATATTCGAAATATATCTGTTACAGATACAAAAAATGTCAAAGGTGGGCGGAGAAACTGTCTGTAAGACAGTACGAAATATCATGTCCCAAACAATTGAGGATCAATTGGTCCAACTTTATACGTGGACAGGTCAAAAAAAGAAGTTGCCATTGAAAGGAACTAAAATTTCAGACGTTATTATTGGTACACATTCATGTTTTTAACGTATACATTTTTCAATATTGAATAAAATGTCCTTCAATATTATACATTGGATTGTGATATAGAACAATTTAGAAAAATGAACAACATAAACGTTGTATTTCATGTTATGTCAAAGAATAAATTAAATTATAAAAATCATTTCTAATTAGATTTGAAATTAACAACAAACAAGTT